TTTGACACGACATTTATATCAACCATTTTCCGGATGGATGAGTAAGAATATACTGTATACTGTATAGTATTATGCCATATTGCCATCGCCATGGAAACGAGCCTTCCATACTACCTCCGGGATCCAATCTGAGCGTATAGTCTGGCGAAACTCACCGAATATTTTCCAAAGATTATTTACACCGGATGACCTATAGCTGAGTGTATATCATTTATCTATGTTATTCAATATTCTTAATTTCTTTCTTATGTAATATTAACATATTGTAGGTATTAAGCAATATATGGTACATATTATAGCGATACTTTATCCAATGTTTTCACCTCCACCTCAGGTGTCCTTCATGGGGCAATTCTCTCACCTTTTTTATTTCCCATTATTATTAATGGAGCGAGTAGCCTTTAACATAATATTATTTACCTCCATAATTTTTTTAGATCAGTGACGAGGAAATAAACTTGAAATCTGCTATACAGCACGGCGAGTTCCCCAGATCTATTTGCATTAATTATAATACACATTTTTAACGCTTATATTTTACTGTACTTTAAATATTTAACATTTCGTAATTCTATATTGATTGCTGCAAACATATCTATTGTACAAATATTTTATTAAAATATGTTTTAAATTCGTGATTATGTACATTTACTTTGTATAACAGATTGCTATATTATATAGTTTGCCAAATTTTTCGAATGTACGCAAACATCACATGATTTTTTTAAATGTATAGTGCAAAATTTAACACAATGTTGACACCCTGAATACAAAAGTTACTACTTACAAAATACAAGTTAAAAATTATAAATAATATGTCAACTAAATAATAAATATACTTGGATACCTGGACACATGGGAATAGACGGCAATTAAAGGGCAGACAAACAAACTAAACTTGCTATCCGCTCAGATGACGCAAAATACATCAACATATTATCATCGTACACAAATATAAAAAAACAGATAAAACAAAACACAATATCCATATGGCTAAACATATGGAGCACACAAAAAAAGAAACTAAACCAAATTWAAAAAAATGTAAAAATATGGAAAAGAAATCCAAACATAAGTATTACAAACGAAAAAAAAACTGGCAACAAAAAAGGTAACCCACCAATATGCCAAGTATGTGATCCCACAATTACAATCAAACACATCTTCGAAGAATACAAAATACATGAAAAACTAAGAGAAAAATTAAACATAAGCCATGACATCTGAACATTCTTGGTCCAAATCCAGACAACGAAGTAAGCAGCATACATTTTTCAAAGCAAAATAAATCCTTCAATTACTATAAGATTAAAAAACTAACAACTGTAATTATTTATTTTTTTGTACTTTTTTATATATTTATTTTTTCTAGTATGATATTAAATGTAATCGTTACATCATAATGACCTCAAATGTTGAAGCAGAAATTATTAATTATTTCAACATCAATCAACAAAAAATTATTAATACTTAGCTATTAGATATATACATAGTGTCATAAATTAAATGAATATTATATATATATATATATATATATAATTTATTATATATTTTAATTCCTGTTTGCATACTATGAAAAGAAATTCGTAAAGTGTAAAATTATATCATTATTATTATTATTGTTTGTATGTATAATTTCCCAATATTCTTACTAAAACTTACATCCATTCTTTATTTATTTATTTTTTTTTTATTGAAAAAATCTACTCGTTGTATAGGTACATACAGTTATTTGTAAGGTTAAGATTTTCTTATCTTTAAACATTACAGTTATTAATGTAATATTAGTAATCATAACAATTATTTAAATATAAGACAATCTGATGAGTTTATTTTGAGGGGTCAAGTGTCTGATTGTTAAAAAACCTTACAAGGGTCAAATGTCGATGATTCGTATAATGTAATACTAAGAATAACGAGAACATATACTTACTCCGTAAAAATTTAAATAGCGAACATTTGATTGGTTATTTTTTTATTATTATAGAAGGTATATTACAATATTATTTTAAAGACCAAACACTTAATAATGTTGTTTACAAAATCGGAATTGATCATTGCTTTTGCAAGTGGGCACCGATRATCAGACATTCCATTCATATTATAATAAATGAACTGTCTCCACAAGTATATAAGCATATTATGAATGTAGCTATACTATAGGTGCCAACTTATAATATACTGTAGAAGTGTAGAGTGTAGATTGCAGTGCCTTTATAAAAAATAATATCTAGTTAATTTAATTTTACAGTTTTCAAGATGACTATGGCGTATAGTGTATAGAAAGGGACAATGCCTTCCAGAATTGTAATTTAATATTTTTATGCAGAGTATGGTATTTGGTAAGTTTAACCTAACATAAATAATATGATAGTAAGGAAAAATATAATATATTGTTATTCGTATATACACCTATATATTGTATCTTTGTAGTTCCGGAAAATAGCGAAAGAGTGATGTCAGTACACTGGTATGTAAACATTTTAAATTATAGATATGTGATATGTCTGTGGTTCTGTGCTATGTAAACATTAACCATGCATAAGTGTCATCTATAATTAAAAATATAACCCAAGCGCAACTCATAAACTTAATAAAATTATTCATTAACCTGTTGTGAAAAACTRAATTGGGTTAGGTYATACAAGGTCAATGAATTAAAATATTACAATATTTTCTCATTATATTAATTAAAATGAGTTAACACAAACTAATAATTTATACACATTTATTTCAACAACAACATTATATTTTCTTAAAATAAAAAATAATTATAATAAAATTCACAGACAATATAATTTTAAATTAATTCCAATTCAGGCCTAAGTTATCAGTATTAACGACGGTCTAGTATTTCTTACTAAAGTTTAACATAATTATAATAAACAGCCTACCATTTAAAATGATTTCAAACAACAAAATATTTTATTTTATATATTTTTTTAATACAATATATCGAATGGTATTATTAAGTTTAACATCACTTTGGCACCAATCATAAAAGTACATACATATATAGTAATATATCCAGTACATATATATATATATATATTAATTTAAATGAAAATAAATAAAATTTGTATTACATTAGTTTAAATTTGTTTATAGTTTTAACGAAATGTTAAGGTTCTATAGATTATGAGATGGAAATTCGGTGCATGAGTGGGTGATTGAATTCATTAAAAATCTATAAATTGTAAACGATTCCTATTTTGACTTCTAAACCAAATTTTTCATTTTATAATAATTAAATTTAATAATATTTGTTTTACTAAAGTATTAAACTAAAAAAAAAAGTATGATTTCCATATACTCATGATACCTATTAAATATGATAGGTAAAAATATGCGTTCATAATATAAATATAAAAATAAAAATAAAGAATAACATTAATCAAAACATGGAAGTGTTTAGATTTGATCGCAATTACTATTCAAATATATTATGGGCTTATAATTGGCTCGAAATTACGATTTAGTTTTGATACACATTTACCTATTTTTTGAGATTTTATGTAAATATTTTCAAATAACAAAAGATTAAAAGCAAATAAATTTGAATAGAATTGAATACAGTTTTATTTCAATTTTTATTGGTTATAACGAAATTATAAATATTTTATATTTTAATCTTAAGAATAACATAACGGTATTATATTTCATACTACTTTGTCAAGCATAATTTTAATATTTAATAGGTACCGCATAAACATATCTTTATAAATATATTTTATTATAATTTGTAAATATTTATCAGCCAAAAGAAAAAAAATTGAAATGTAAMATTAATGGCTTATTAAATAATAAATATATTATACTTTTTAATATTTTGAAAACTATGTACAGTACTGAATCGCAGCAAACCAAATAGCATGAACGGATTTTGTTGATGAATCCCAAATGCTTAGTATTTTTATTTTAAAACATTCCAAAATTATTTTTCTATTTTAGATGCTGATTTGGCTATTAGTCATGTCTTCGATATGATTAATATTATCGTGTTTTCTAGTGGTATAGTCGTATTATAAATACAATTTCACAACCCTTAATTTTCGTCACAGTCTGTTATTGAATTACTTTATATTAATTATATTTTATACATTTTTACATTTTGAAAC